TCTGAGAGAATAGAGATCATTCCTCTCCCTCAGTACTAGGTTTTGTACTCAGGGCCTTCTGCTTGCTCTGCTTTCTTGCCGAACTGCCCATCTACCACTTGAGCCACACCTCCAGCCCTGCTTTTTGCTGGTCATTATGGAGATGAAGTCTCCAGGACTTTTCTGCCTAGGTGGACTCCTGAGTGGTTAGTATTATAGATAGGATCTACTAGCTCTGGCTGAGAAATCCCTTTAAAAGTCTGGGAGATAAGATTCCACTCTTGCATTTGTATCTTTAACACAAAACTGTCTCATTCTGTGCATTGTTAGTAATGATTTCCTTCTGCTTTGATATAAACACCCCATTTGTAACATTGTGAGTCAGACTCTTGGTGAGTTACCACAGCAACAGAATAAACTTTTGGAGCATTATTGCAGTACTTGAAACTTAACAGTTTCATAATAATTTGAAATGTTACAGTGAAACATGGAGCTGATAGAACATATCTTAAAAAGCAGTTATAAATTCAGAACAGAATCTCATTTCCAAGTAGGCTTTTGAGAATGGTTTAATTTTTATTGTCTCTCAAGCTGAGTGTAACGGTACATGCCTGTAATTCCAGCAAGTTTAAGACTAGTCTGGGTTATGAAGTGAAATCTTTTCTCAACAGCCATCAGAAACTTCACATTGTCATGTTTTTCTGGTTCTACTTTTTTGTTTGTAGTGGTTTGAACTCCAGGTCTAGAGTAACTAGGATTACAGGCCTGAGCCACCAGTGCCTGGTAGCAGTTTTCTTTTCTTTTTGGTGCCTGTATTGCAGCTTGAACTCAGGGCCCCCAGCAATGTTTCTGAAGTCCCAGCTACTTTTTTTGGGGGGGAGGGTTCGGTCATGGGGCCTGAACTCTGGGCCTAGGTGCTGTCCCTTAGCTCTTCAGCTCAAGGCTAGTGCTCTACCACTTGAGCCACAGTGCCACTTCCGGCTTTTTTTTCTTTTTGCTTATGTGGTGCTGAGGAATGGAACCCAGGGCCTCAGGCATGCAAGGCAAGTGCTCTACCACTGAGCCACCTTCCCAGCCCCACCTTTTTTTTTTAAAGCTCTATGCATGTGTGTGTGATCAGCAAGGTTTGACACCCTCTGGTGCAGATGTGGAAAGTTCTTTTCCTTATTCAGATATGCATGCATGAACAGACTGTATACTGTTTGACTGTTTTGTATGTGTGTGCCAGTCCTGGGCTTGAACTCAGGGCCTGGATGCTGTCCCTGAGCTTCTTTTGCTCAAGGCTAGTACTCTTTTTTTTTTTTGGGGGGGGGGTCATAAATCCACTTCAGTCCTATCTTTTATTTAAAAAAATTAATGTTTTTTTATTGTGAAAATACTGTACAGAGGGGTGGGTTATAGTTACATGAGCAAGGTAATGAGTACAGTTTTTAATCAAGCATTGTTGCCTCCTCCTTTGTTTTTCCCCTACCATCCCTTCCCTCCCACCTCCTCAACTACACTCCCCCCTCCCCCTCCCCCTTCCCCCTCCCCTCCCCCTCCCCCAAGCCTAGTACACTTCAGCCACAGTGCTACTTCTGGCTGGCTTTTTCTCTTTATGTAGTACTTAGGAATCAAACCCAGGGTTTCATGCATGCTAGGCAAGCACTCTACCATTAAGCCACATTCCCAGCCTCTATTATTTTGTTTTTAAAATGTTGCTGCAAAAAATTGAAGCATTAAAGCCTGGCTAGCTACTCAGGAAGCTAGATCCGAGGATCGCAGTTCAAAGCCAGCCTGTGAGACTCTTATCTCCAGTAAGCCACTCAGAAAACTGGAAGTGGTGCTGTGGCTCAAGTGGTAGAGTGTTTGCCTTGAGCTGAAGAGCTGAGGGCGAGTGCCCAGGCCCAGAGTTCAAGCCCCACGACCTACCAAAAAAAAAAAAAGAAGAAGAAAAAGAAGCAGTATACTACCTTTAATCAGAACTAATGAATTCTTTTAACTACTTGATTTGGAACACAGACAAATGCTTAGTATCTACAGGTTTTGGTGTGTTTTGTTGTATTTTGTTGAATTTGTAAATACTTGATCACTGACTTAATTAGTCTAGCCAGAAAACAGAAAATTGACTAAGAAGTAATTATTAGGAATAAAGTGTTATGAAACAAACAACTGCAGCATTCTGGGGTTAACTTTGGTGTGGTTGTTCTTTTGGGGATATTTATAGAGTGCCCCATAATTGGCTTGGTGTGTGTCTGTATGTCTGTGTATGTGCCAGTCCTGGGGCTTGACTCAGGGCCTAGATGTTGTCCCTGAGCCTTTTTTTTTTTTTTTTTTTTATCAGTCGTGGAGCTTGAACTCAGGGCCTGGGTGCTGTCTCTAAGCTCTTCAGTTCAAGACTAGTGCTCTGTCACTTGAACCACAGCTCCACTTCTGGTTTTCTGGTGGTTAATTGGACTTTCCTGCCTGGACTGGCTTTGAACCGAGATCCTCAGATCTCAGCCTCCTGAGTAGTTAGGATTACACGTGTGGGCCACTGGAATCCAGCTTTTTAATTTTTAAAATTTAATTTTTGTCGGTTGTGGGGCCTGAACTCTGGGCCTGGGAGCTGTCCCTCAGGTCCTCAGCTCAAGGCTAAGGGCTCTACCACTTGAGCCACAGCATTACTTCCAGGTTTTTCTGCTTATGTGGTGCTGAAGAATCGAACACAGTGCCTCATCCGTGCAAGGCAAGCACTCTACCACTGAGCCACCTTCCCAGCACCTTTTTTTAAAAATCAAAGCTAGTGCTCTACCACTTGAGCAACAGTTCTACTTCCTGTTTTTTGGCATTTGCTTGGAGATGAGTCTCATTTGGCCTTTCTTGCCCTGACTGGCTTTGAATTACAATCCTCAGATCTCAGCCTCCTGTGGAGCTAGGGGTGCTGGCATATGTGAGTTTTATGTCTTGAAAATTAGCATCTTCCAAAAGGCATTGAGCTTAAAAAGATAAACTGCACATGTAGGACTTGCCCCCATTTAGCAAGTCAGCCAGTCACAGACAGACTATCCTTACAAGCTTGCTTCTGTGCCATGTACCTCTGCTCATTTTACACTAGGCAGCTGGAGCTGAGCCACCGGCCTCATTGTTGTTGTTGCCAGTATACTGAATTAAATTTTAATTGAAATTAAGACACTTAAGTGTAAAGCAGAACCACTGAAGAATAGCCATGCTGCTGTCTTGAGTGTGTACTCCATGTCCTCTGCCTTTTCTAACTTCACTTGAGGAAAACATCTTGAATAGATTTGCGTAAAGCCTTATACATATGTTGGAGGCCTTTCACAAAGTAAGCCACTGATGCTTTAAAATCAGCTGTTGTCAGTTCTGTGTGATTCCTGCAGAGACACTATAGGAGGAGCCTTTGTGGGTCAGGCTCAAGGCCTTTGTGCAACGTAGGACGGGACCCCTCCCTCGATCTTAGATCTGATAGCATGTAAACCCATCTGCACTCCTTGCCTTCCTTGTGGCCTGCCAGTCCATTTAGAGACCTGAAGTTTCTTCTCACATCTATTCCCACTGGGCACAAAGACCTGAGGTATGCCTATCCTTCACCACAACAAAACTACTGAAACGTAGTTTTTAATCTCTTAGAATTATATTTGTTGGGTACCAGAGGCTTATGCCTAATCCTAGTTACTTAGGAGGCTGAGATCTGAAGATTACAGTTGGAAACAAGCCTGCCCGAGAGACTCTTTATCTCTAACTACTCTAGATCCAGAAGTGGTGCTGTGGCTCTACTTGGTAGAGCACTAGCCTTGAGCAAAAGAGCTCAGGGACATAGCCCAAGCCATGAGCCCCACAACCAACCAAAAAGAAAAAAATTCTTTTCTTTTTTTTGCTTGGCATCAGTGGGCCTAATACTCAGGAGGTTGAGATCAGAGGATCATGGTTCTAAGCCTTCCCCAAGCAGGAAGATCTTATCTCCAATTAAAATCACAGAAAAAGCCAGAGGTGGCACTGTGGGCTCAATTGGTAGAATGCTAGCCTTGAGCAAAAGGAGCTCAGGGGCAGTATCCAGCCCCAGGACTGGCAAAATAAATAAATAAATAGAACTAAGAAGTTGTACAAAGAGGTTCCATAAGTCAAGTTATGAGTACAGTGTTATCTTGATCACTTGTCTCCCCTTCCATCATTCTCCTCCATTTTCTCCCTCCCATCCCTGCCTTCGAGTTACATAGTTCCATGTTTACATAATGTACATCGAATATAATGACTGTTTTGCTTATCCTTTTGCAAATTGTCTTCCAAATGATAACAACTTGTACTTTTTTTGTGCCAGCCAGTCTTGGGGCTTGAACTTGGGCCTGGGAGCTATCCCTGAGCTCATTTTCTCAAGGCTAGCACTTCAACACTTGAGCCACAGCTCCACTTCCAGCTTAATTGGAGATAAGAGACTCATGGGCTTTTCTGCCCAGGCTGGTTTTGAATGGGATCCTTAGATTTCAGCCTCCTCAGCCTCCTGAGTAGCTAGGGTTACAGGTATGAGCCACCAGTTCCTGACACAACTTACACATTCTTTTTTTTTGGGGGGGGGGGTCCGGTTGTGGGGCCTGAACTCTGGGCCTGGGCGCTGTCCCTCAGCTCTTCAGCTCAAGGCTAGCGCTCTACTGCTTGAGCCACAGCACCACTTCCGGCTTTTTTCTTTTTGCTTATGTGGTGCTGAAGAATCGAACCCAGGGCCTCAGGCATGCAAGGCAAGCACTCTACCACTGAGCCACTTTCCCAGCCCCACAACTTACACATTCTTGACAAGATTAAAGAACATGGAGCCAGTGGCTCATTCTATGCAAGAAATGATCCAAGTAGCCATGATTTCAGGCTTAAGCTACTATATCTATGGAGATCTGTGTGTTACTGAAGTACTGCTGCAGTCCTTACACTTGGTGAAAATATACTGTGACTTACTCATTATTATGGATTTAAGAAGTATTATGAGAATTTAAAGTATTGCTGCTTATTTAGAATAAAAAATCATCTAATTCTGACCCCTGTTTGCCCAACAGGAAGCCAGCAGACCTGCAGAACTTGGCTCCTGGGACCCACCCACCATTTATAACTTTCAACAGTGAAGTAAAAACAGACGTTAATAAAATTGAGGAATTTCTTGAGGAAGTCTTATGCCCTCCCAAGTGAGTATCCAATAAAATTGAATGGTATGAATACTGCTGTCTCTCTGAAGCTTTGTTTTAGTTGTCCCCAGAGACTGTTCTGATGGCAGTGAAGTTAAATACAGCGTTGATTTGAGATGATCAAAAGTATCTTTTAAATGATTTACCATTAATGCTACATAGCTATCAGAATTGATGACTTTACAATTGCTATAAAGATGTCAGAATTGGTCTCTTGCTAGGCCATTATTAAGCAATACTAAAGAGGATGGGAATCTGTAAGCAGGAAAGAACACGATGAAAGCAGGTTGGGGATGTGTATGACACATCAGAGAAGAATGGTCATTTGTGGGTTATTAATCTCAAACCAAGGGAGTTTGTGGAGAAGAGATGAGGAAAGATAGGTTCCCACTAAACCCAGCCCAGTGCCTGTGCAGGTGGGTAGTACAGCCAGCCATGGGGTTTGCTCTCAGTGAGTTTAAGGACAGCTTTCTGGAATCCAGACTAGGGGGGGTTGATGTGTCCCGTATTTTGTTTCTGAGAGTCACATTTACTTAGCTCTTTGAGACATCCAGATCTAGAAGTTACACATGTACTGACCATGATGACAGTTTCCTAAATTGCAGATCACAATTTTGTATCCTACTGTAATCTTGGCAAAGGTTCAAAGCATTATTAATTTCTTTCAGACTTTGCAGTTTCATTGTCCTGAAAACAAATGTGTTCATTTCCTCTGACCCAAGACTTTCTAGTTGATTTGACTTTCACCTTCCATGTCTAGATTAACTTCACAGGAATGGAATTGTTGGGTCAGAGCATTCTAAACTTAGTTGCTCAATATTTATCCATTCATCTGCTCATTCATTCATTCTTTCTTTCTTTCATTCATTCTGTAGGCAATGGTAACTAGACAGTGTGGCCACATAGTGACTAAATTGAGCAAGCAAAGTTGGAGGCAGGGACTAGTGAAGAAAAGCATTAGAGAAGAGGCAATACAGAAAGCCAGCCTTATTTAAACTAAGAAAAGTGGCAGTTGGCAAAAAGTGACCCTTAGTGGGTGAATGAAAGACTAGCAGACATCTTAGGACAGATTTATTTTGGATAGGTTGTTTCTTTGGAGGAGGGTAGGCAGGAAGGCTGCTATGAAGAGAGTGAGTGAGCAGGTCATCCTGCCATGAATAAAACTGCCTTTCCTTAGTCACTACCTAAAATTGTGTTCTCTTCATCCTTGTTTTCTTAATGCTAATTCTAAAGGCTTGCTCTTTGCCCACTTTATTTCTGTTAACAACCTCAAAAGCTCCCCTCCCCTCCTCCCCCCTCCTCCCCTTCCTTCCCCTTCCCACTTCTTCCTTCCCCCCTCCCCTCCCCCTTCTTCTCTGTCCCTGAGCTCTTTAGCTCAAGGTTACAACTCTGCCACTTTTGTTCCCCCCCACCCCCCAGTTGTGAGGCTTGAGCTCTGGGCCTGGGCTCTGTCCCTCAGCTCTTCAGCTCAAGGCTAGCCCTCTAACACTTGAGTCACAGCGCCACTTCCAGCCTTTTCTGCTTATGTGGTGCTGAGGAATCGAACCCAGGGCTTCATGCATGTGAGACAAGCACTCTACCACTGAGCCACCTTCCCAGCCCCAGGTCTGCCAGTTTGAGCCACACTGCCACTTTGAATTTTCTGGTGATTAATTGGAGATGACTCTTAGTATTTTCCTGCTTGGGCTGTCTTTGAACTGTGAACTTCAGATCTCATCCTCAGGAATAGCTAGGGTTATAGGTTAAGCCACCACCCCCTGGCCTCTCTAATTTCTTCTTTATCTCTACTTCCTGGAGTTCTAACTTCCTGAAGTACATTCAGACCAACATTAATGCAACTGCAAAAATTTCCCTCAGCCTATGCATTAACTCGAATACTACCACATCAAAACTGAGATCTTTGTAAATTGTAAAGGGTAGCTTTATGTATATCTGGAGATGTTAGGAACACACAATTCAACACAGTAGAAATGACTTTTGAAGGGTGTTATGACATGTAGCCCACTAGATCCATTTTCTTCCTCTTCCTCCTCATCGTTATTTTGGAATGCCTTAGTCATTTTCTTTGAATGAAGCTATGGTTTTAGCATTTCTAAAGCGCTTACTATGTAAATTATTCCAAATATATTAAGTTAAAAAAAAAAATAGCTGGGAATGTAGCTCAGTGGCAGAGTGCTTGCCTCACATGCATGAAGTCCCGAGTTCGATTCCTCAGTACCACATAAAGAGAAAAAGCCAGAAGTAGTGCTGTGGCTCAAGTGGTAGAGTGCTAGCCTTGAACAAAAGAAGCTTAGAGACAGTGCCTAGGACCAGAGTTCAAGCCCCAGGACTGGCAAAAAAATAAAAATCAGTGTAGCTGGTAGCATAAATGCTACTTTAAGTTCAACATACATTTTCTTATGTTCTCTTATAACCTTTAACAGCAACAAAATCAAGAAATTTTACTCTTGTTGTTTTTCTCTGAGAGGGACTAACATGAAGAGAAGCACTAATATCAAAATGTTTGGATTTCCTGGCCGTTAGTGATTGGTGTTTTCTCTTTTCTCTCTCTTTTATTTTGAGACCTAGCTCTTGCTATGTAGCACTGGGCCTTGAACTCACTGTTTTCTTTGCCCTAGACTCCTAAGAGCTGAGGCTATACTCATGCACCAGCATATCCAGCATGCTTTTTTTTTTTTTTTTTTTTTTTTTGATTCTGGGTCTTGAACTCAGGACCTGGGTGCTATCTCTGAACCTCTTCATGTTCAAGGCTAGTGCTCTACCACTTGAGCCACAGGGCCACTTCTGACTTTTTCTGAGTAGTTTATTGGAGGTAAGAATCTCACAGACTTTCTTGCCTGGGCTGGATTTGAACTGTGGTCCTCAGATCTCAGCTTCCTGAGTAGTTAAGATTACAGGTATGAGCCACTGTGCTTTGCTTTTCTATATGGAAACTTCACTTGTTTTAATTGGACTAGTTCTTACAGATACAATAACCAAATATAGTAATTTTTTTCAGTTTGAACAAATTGGAAATCTGTTATAAATTGTTCAGAATGTGCTAGATTCTTTCCAATGATTTTCCTTTTCTTTCTCTACTTTTTAAAAAAAAATGAGCTGTGGTTTATATTCTACAGTGAGTTGCAGTTCACTTTTTTTTTGTTTTGTTTTGGTTTTTTTTGGGTCCTTTCGTGGGGCCTAAACTCTGGGCCTGGGCGCTGTCCCTCAGCTCTTCAGCTAAGGCTAGTACTCTACCACTTGAGCCATAGCGCCACTTCCGGCTTTTTTCTTTTTGCTTATGTGGTGCTGAGGAATCGAACCCAGGGCCTCAGGCATGCAAGGCAAGCAAGCTCTCTAACATTGAGCCACCTTCCCAGCCCCACAGTTCACTTTTTGTAGAATGGATTCTTCCTGATGTTGTCCAGGCCTCTGTGGTTGTCAACAATGCTAAATGTGCTAATTCTGTGACCTGTACTGCTTTTTTGATTTTTTGGGGGGGGGGGGGGGGGGTCAATCCTGGGGTTGAACTCAGGGCTTGGGCACTGTTCCTATGCTTTGTTTGCTCAAGGCTTGCGCTCTACCACTTGGGCCACAGCCTTTTCTGTTTCTGTGGTACTGAGGAATAGAACGCAGGGCTTCATGCATGCTAGGCAAGCACTCTACCACTAAGCCACATTCCCAGCCCTCTTGATTCTTTCATGCATCTTCTCAGCCCTAAGAAGTTCTTCATGAAGAAACTGGAAATGAGTTTTCCAAATAGTTTGTTCAGGGGTTCACTGTTAATAATATCAAGTCAAATGACATTAAAAAATGCCTTTTGGTCGGGTGCTGGTGGCTCACACCTGTAATCCAGCTACTCACGAGTCTGAGATGATCTGATCACAGTTCAAAGCCAGCCCAGGCAGGAAAGTCCATGAGACTCTCCAGTAAACCACCAGAAAACCAGAAGTGGCGCTGTGGCTCAAGTGGTAGAGCACTCACCTTGAGCTGAAGAGCTGAGGGACAGCACCCAGGTCTAGAGTTAAAGCCCCACGACTGACTCCCCCCCCCCAAAATGTGTCTTTTACCTGGGCACTGGTGGCTCACATATAATCCTAGCTATTCAGGAGCCTGAGATCTGAGGTTCACAGTCCAAAGCTAGCCCAGGCAGAAAAATCGTGAGACTTCTGTTTTTCTGGTGGTTAATTGGAAATAGGAATCTCCTGACTTTCCTGCCTGGGCTGGCTTTGAACTGTGATCCTCAGATCTCAGCCTCCTGAGTAGTTAGGATTACAGGCATGAGCCGCCGCCACCTGGCAAGGCGTAAGTCTTTAATTGGGATTTTTCTACAATGAGTACAGGTGAAGTTAAAAGTAGAGAAGAAAAATCAAAGCTAGATGCTGTGATGAGAAGCAAGACAGAAGTGGCTGTCAGCAATTCAGCAGATGCTTTCAAAACAGGCCAGGTTTGACTTCTGATAAGTTTTCATTCATTGATGTTCATCGAAATATACCATGTTTGGACAGGGGCTGTCTTCTCCTTAGTGTGCTGCAGCCTGTACTGTGAAATCCTGGCAAAAACCATGGTCTCTGTCCTGCAGAGCTGTTTCTGGAGGAATGGGAGGAGAGAGTGTTTTGAGGCCTATCACCTGCAGGCTTCTCTCTTTCTGTGTGCACTGTGGAGGTTTAGGCACAGGGGACCATCCTGGCTCCCTCACTGCCAGTCAGTACCCCTTAGGACCAGGAGGTCTTCAATCTCTTCCTGATTCTTCTTGCGCGGGACTTCTTTGTAGGTAAGAGGAGGAGGTAGGGAAGCGCAGGCAGGTACACTGGAACTCAGCCTGTCTACTAACATGCCTTTGGCCTTCAGGGATGCTAAAGACTGCGTATGCTCCAGTTACTTGATATTTACAGACTGATGGAAAGCTCAACTTAGAACTTTTGCTTGTATGAAAAAGTAGGCTCTAAAATAATCCTTTCTCTTGTTCTCTAGAGAGAGAGAGAGAGAGAGTGTGTGTGTGTTTAAAGCTCTCCTTGCTTGAATGAAAGAGCTACTTTACCAAAAGCCTTGAAACTTGGGTTTTACTCTGAACTGCACCTGGCTAATGTACTGATAAAAGGGCAGAGTAAAGGACAGCAAGTAAATAGAAGAGATAAATTTAGATGGCACTAAAAATGCTCAGCCATTAAAAAAAAATTAAGACAGATAACAGGCTGTATAAACAAACTTTCTCTTATTAACATGAGAAAGAAGAAAAGATCTGAGCCTTTTCCTAAGAGGATGGAAATATCTCAGCTAGCCTGCAATCCATAGTCTATGATGTAAATCAGGGGTTGATCTGAGAATCAAAACGTTCCAGGTGCTCATGTCTGTTCTGTGGCACACAGCCTTTTATGAGTCCTTTCTTTCCCATACTCCAGATGATCAATTGAGAGCTCACCATAATTAGAAATCACTGCTTGACCAAGCTGTTTGCTAAAGCTAATAATGTTGAGTTATCTGTTAGATCCTGCTCTGTGACATGGGACAGGAACTCTGTGTTTCAGTTTCTGGATACTTTCAGCTAGCTGGATGACTTTGTGAGCTAACTATTTAAGCTTCCAGGAGGTAAGTTTCCTTTTAAGCAAAGTGAGAGATTCAAGGCAAGTGCAGCTACTCTATCCTTTATAGTCATAGCACATTTGATGACTTATTCCAGTTCAATCTGCTTAGAGAACAGGGCTCTTTGAGCATTTTGAGAGCATCTATTTTTAAACGAGTAAAAAATGCAAAGGCTGGATGTAGTGGCAACTGGTAATCTCAGCTCTTAAGGGAGGCAGACATTCAGGGAGGACCATAGTTTGAGGGCAGCCTCCGCAAAAAAAGTTAGTGAGATTCTCCTTATCTCAGCCAATTTAGGTGGGAGGATCTCAGTACATGGCCAGCCCTAGTCAAAAAGTGAGAGACCCTTATTTAAAAAAAAAAAAAAAGAGAGAGAGAGAGATGCTGGCGCTGGTGGCTCACGCTTATAATCCTAGCTACTCAGGAGGCTGAGATCTGAGGATCTCGATTCAAAGCCAGCCCAGGCAGGAAAGTCCGTGAGACTCTTATCTCTAATAAACCACTAGAAAACCAGAAGTAGTGCTGTGGCTAAAGTGGTAGAGCGCTCACCTTGAACTGAAGAGCTGAGGGATAGCTCCCAAGCCCAGAGTTCAAGCTCCACGACCGAAAAAAAAAAAAAAAAATATATATATATATATATATAATTAAAAAATAATAAAGAGAAAGAGAACAAAGGAACTGGAGGCTTGATCCCAAGTGGTAGAGCATCTGCTGTCTGATTTCACTAAAACTAGGTTTCTAGTGGGAACACTTGTATTTGTAAAAGTGGTAAGTTGCTTCTTATGCACAGCAGTTAGTACCATGCCTCGCACACAATAAACAGTTACAGGGATGGAAGTTTTCTTCATTTAGGAATGAGGTGCCCCTCACTGCTGCTTGGACTTTTGTTGTTGGTGGTGGTGGTAGTCATGGGGCTTGAACTCTAGGCCTGGGCGCTGTCCCTCAGCTCTTCAGCTCAAAGCTGGCACTCTACCACTTAAGCCACAGCACCACTTCCAGGTTTTTCTGCTTATGTGGTGCTGAGGAATTGAACCCAGGTTCTATGCATGCGAGGCAAGCACTCTACCACTGAGCCACCTTCCCAGCCCTGCTTGGACTCTTGAGAGGGAAGTAGTGGCAGCGAAGCAGCTCTGAGGAACGACTTGCTACCAGGCCTGCTTTACAAGGGGTGGAAGCTTTGCAGGGAACTTGGCTGCTGCGTATCAGGGGATGAGCAGGGGTGTTGGGCCTGGGCCCAGCGTGAACTCTTCACCTCAGGCGGGGGCGGGCGGGCACATGCATACATTTAGGTAAAACTCATTATATTAGTTCCCCCAAAATGATACAATCACTTGTGTTTACAGGGGAAATCTTTATGATTACAAATTGAGAGATAGCTAGAGCTATTAAAAAGAATGAAAGCTAATATGTAGGTGGTCCATGGATATTTTATATCATCCTTACCAATAAAGCGTCATGCTTGATTTCTAGAAGCTCTGTTTCTTCCTGAATTCAAAATAGTAAGCAGGAGAAATGTGTTTCTTGCCGGGTACTGGTGGCTCACGCCTATAATCCTTGCTACTCCAAGAGGCTGAGATCTGAGGGTTACAGTTTGAGGCCAGCCCAGGTAGGAATGTCAGTGAGACTTATCTCCCTTCCAGTTAACTACCAGAAAATTGGAAGTGGAGCTGTGGTTCAAAGTGGTGGCGCTTTAGCTTTGAGCAAAGGAGCTTAGGGACAGTGCTCAGGCTCACAGTTCAAGCCCTAGAACAGGAAGGAAGGAAGGAAGGAAGGAGAGAGAGAGAAAGAAATAAAATAAGGAAGGGAATAAGGAAATGTTCGTTACTGTTGGAGCCCTCAGGATAGTTGGCGACATTGCGTTTTCTGTTGCTAGTCGTCCCCCTCCTCCCCTCCACTGTGGGGCATTTCACACATGGGTTGTGGGAGGGCAGGTGCTTTCTGTGTAGGATCTGTGGCTCTTCCCTGTCCAGGGCTCAGCACTGCCAGCGCTGGCTGGACTCTGTACTAAGGGTGGCTAGTACAAGCAAGCATCAAGTCCTTACCCTGTTTGATTGGATTCTTTGGTATTTGTATTGAGATACTTGAGGTGCAGAACATTTTATCATCCCAGCTGTCTGTAGGATGCCCTGAGCTGAACTCTCCACAAGTCCACTGTCCCGGTAGCACTGCCATTGCCAAATGGAGGTGGAGTGCGGATGCCCTTTGCCTGCCAAGAATCTTAATGCATGAACAAAACACGGGCAGAGCTCTATTTCCTAAGGAAAAAACACATTTAAAAATAGCATAGAAAACAGAGGAAGACATTTCTTAGAGTAATAACTAGTCAAAGCTGTCTGGGAATCCGGGCACTGGTGGCTTATGCCTGTAATCCTAGCTTTTAAGGAGGCTGAGATCTGAGGATCACGGTTCAAAGCCAGCCCAGGTAGGAAAGTCCGTGAGACGCTTATCTCCAATAAACCACCAAAACCAGAAGTGGCACTGTGGCTCAAGCGGTAGAGTGCTAGTCTTTTTTTGGGGGGGGCAGGGGGGGGGAGTCGGTTGTAGGCTTGAACTCTGGGCCTGGGTGCTGTCCCTGAGCTTTTCCACTCAAGGCGAGCGCTCTACCTCTTGAGCAGCAATACTACTTGCAGTTTTCTGGTGGTTAATTGGGGATAAGAGTCACAGACTTTCCTGCCCTGGCTGGCTTTGAACCGTGATCCTCAAATCTCAGCCTCCTGAGTAGCTAGGATTATAGGTGTGAGCTACCAGCACCCAGCTTAGACTGCTAGTCTTGAGCTGAAGAGCTGAGGGACAGAGCTGAGTTCAAGTCCCATGACCAACAACAAAAAAAGCTGTCTGGGCCAGGCGCTGGTGGCTCACGCCTGTAAGCCTAGCTACTCAGGAGGCTGAGATCTGAGGATCATGGTTCAAAGCCAGCCCGGGCAGGAAAGACTGAGACTCTTGTCTCCAATTAACCACCAGAAAACAGGAAGTGGCTCTGTAGCTCAAGTGGTAGAGTGCTTGCCTTGAGCTGAAGAGCTGAGGGACAGCGCCCAAGCCCAGAGTTCAAGCCCCATGACCAAGGGCCTTCCCCCCCCCCAAAAAAAAAAAAAAAAAAAAAAGCTGTCTGGGAACTGCTGGTACAATCCTTTATTGATTGATGTACCTGGGAGGTCTTTATAATCAATTATCACCTTTTCCATTTAGATACTTAAAGCTTTCGCCAAAACATCCAGAATCAAATACTGCTGGAATGGACATCTTTGCCAAATTCTCTGCTTATATCAAGAATTCACGTCCAGAAGCTAATGAAGGTAAAAAGCAAAAAAGTTGAATTATCATTGGGGGAAAAATCAGATAACAAGAGTTTCACTGTGACAGTGATTATAAATAAAAATTTTGGAGTCTAAACATGACCATAGTATTAAAAAATATCTTTCAGACTTGATCAGATAAACTGGAAGGACTTAAATTGCTGGGTTTCTAAGTAGTACACCAATACCTGGGTAGTAGGTTTGTGATAAGATGTTTGTTACATATTCTCTTTAAGTTTTCACGAAAGGGGAGCTGCAAAGAGTTAAGGCAAATCAGAATGACAGCATGGGGCTCTGGGTTCAAACCCCAATACTGCCCTTTCCCCTAATGACTGTGGTGGCTATGGTGGTTTGACACAGTGACAGAAATAAGCCCTTGCTTATTTGTAGGGTGCCCGCAGCCTACAAGCAGCGAGGTGCTTTTTCTGTGCACGTGTGTGCACACGTGTGTATGTGTATGTATGTATATATGTATGTATGTTGATTCCCTTTGCAGAGCAGTTTGGTGACTGGTGATCCTTGTTACTCAGGAGGCCCAGATCTGAGGATCACAGCTTGAAACCAGCTTGGGCAGGAGACCCCCCCCCCCCCCAGGCTCTTTAGTTAAAAGACAATTTTAGTATTTCATTTACCACACTCAAGTCCAGTGAAGGAAGAGGAGTGTTTGAGCTCAGTCCCTATCTCTTCACCACGCTGCCTGCCAACTGCCCGTTTCTCTCTTCACGGGTGGAACAGCGCTCTTTCTGGGGAGCCCTGTGCAGAGAGTATGTACGACAGCCACCCCTGGCTTCCAAAAGGGTTAATTCATGGGCTGAGAACGAGGCTTAGTGGTAGAGTGCCTGCCTAGCATGCATGAAGTCCTGGGTTCATTCCTCAGTACCACATAAACAGAAAAAGCCAGAAGTGGAGCTATGGCTCAAGTGATAGAGTGCTAACCTCAAGCAAAAGAAGGTCAGGGACAGTGCCCAGGCTCTGAATTCAAACCTCAGGACTGGGAGAGGAAAATCATTAGCGTTAGACATTTGGTTGGTAGCTTGGAGGATTCTAGAAGTTTCTGGAAGTAACTAGCAATGGTACCAAGCGGGGAGTCTTGATGTTGGATGATAGGAACAAATACTGTGTAAAAAAGTGAAACACAGGGCTGGGAAGGTGGCTCAGTGGTAGAGTGCTTGCCTTGCATGCATGAGGCCCTGGGTTTGATTCCTCAGCACCACATAAGCAAAAAAGAAAAAAGCTGGAAGTGACGCTGTAGCTCAAGTGGTAGAGCGCTAGCCTTGAGCTGAAGAGCTGAGGGACAGTGCCCAGGCCCAGAGTTCAGGGCCCCCCCCCCCCCAAAAAAAAAAGTGAAATACTTGGCAATTTCCTCGTGTTATTTCAGCAGGCAGACTTCCAAGCTATCCAGGCTATTTTGTATTAACACTTCAAGCTGGGCACTGGTGGCTCATGCCTGTATCCTACTCAAGAGGCTGAGATCTGAGGATCATGGTTCAAGGCCAGCCTGAGGCGGAAAAGTCTGTGAGGCAGTAATCTTCAGTTAAAACTGGAAGGAGCAGCGTGGCTCACAGTAGTATAGTACTGGCCTGAGTGCAGAAGCTCAGGGACAGTCCTGGCCCTGAGTTCAAGCCCTATGACTGACCCCCCCCCCCCCAAAAAAAAAAATGCAGTATTGTATAATTTAGTGTTAAAGTTCAGTTTCTTTCACTCTTGGAATAACTTCCATTGCATGAGATTTTTTTTTTTTTCCTACAGTGAAAGGAAAAAAAAATTTGTGTCCAGGCCCAGCTTGCATCTATTTCTATAATAGGTCCCAGTGGCTGCTTTGGTTTAGAAGCAGTTTTCTTTGGTAATTGGCTGCTTTTCTGCCTGATTTGTACTCTAACTCAATAGTTGTGCTGCAGCCGCCTCCCACCACAGGCCTCGCTGCCACTGCCGTGGCCCTCCTCCACGCCGCCACCCCTCCCCCACGCGGGCTGCCCTGTGCTTCAGCACAGAGCTCTTCCACTCTTCAGGTCATAAAGTTTGTTTCCCTGTTTGGCTTCTGAGGGCTGGAGGGTGGTTCAACTTTGTCTGACACTCAGGGAAGTGATGGGAAATGGGTTTTATTTTGCTTTAGGGGACGAGGGCTGGGGAGGAGAACATGATTCATTTAAGTATAACTTGGCATTCTATTTTTTCCCTACCAATTTCTACCATCTGAGGTAGCCACCTACACTCATGTCTCTGGAGTGCTGTAGCCAATTAGAACAAAGGACATAATGGATACCAGTGATTCACTTAGAAGGCTTTATATATGATGACCTATTGGTAAATAAGAATTCCAGTTGCCAAGCAACTTTCCCCACAGGGACTTGAACTGTCTTTAGGGACTTTAGAAAACAGTATTTGGAAGCACTTTGGAGCTTCCTGGTGTCCCACAAGTCTGTTTGGTGCTGTTCTCTCACCTGTTGGTTTAGGGCAATGAAATGCCTTCAGTAAGCCTGTACATTTATAGTTGACAGAGATGCCATGGTCATTTTTACTTGATGAAGGAGAGTAGACATCGTTTTATCAACCAGTTAATTGATAAAATTCAGCATGTTGGATGATATTGGGGGGGGGGAGGCAGTTGTGGGGCCTGAACTCTGGACCTGGGCGCTGTCCCTCAGCTCTTCAGCTCAAGGCTACCACTCGAGCCACAGCGCTACTTCCAGCTTTTTCTGCTTATGTGGTGCTGAGGAATGGAACCCAGGACTTCATGCATGCAAAGCAAGCGTTCTACCCACTAAGCCACCTTCACAGTCCATGTTGGATGATTTTAAGACATTTTGGAACCTGTGTATAGTCCTGGGATTAGATGTCTGGATGTTGCAGTGTGGGCTAGTGAAGGCAGAACCTGGATGGATGGATGGATGGATGTGGTGTAAAATTATAATTCTTTTGCCAACAGGTTTAGGTTGACTGGGAATAAAAGTTTATGTAATCTTGAGGCAGTTAAAGAGTGAACTAGTAATTCCTTTTGTAGACTTGATTATGACCTGTCCCCAGATCTCTTTTTCAGTTCAGTGATTTTATTAGTTCATATAATTTACTAAGTAGAACTAGTCTGTTGGCATTTGGCATTGCTATTTTCTCTCTCTCCCTCTCTTCCTCTCTCCCTCTCCCTCTCCCTCCTTTCTCTCCTCTCCTCTCTCCCCCTCTCCCCTCTCCCCTCTCTCCTCTCTCCCCCTCTCCCCTCTCTCCTCTCTCCTCTCTCCCCTCTCTCCTCTCTCCCTTCTCTCCTCTCTCCTCTCTCCCCTCTCTCCTCTCTCCCTTCTCTCTCTCTCTCCTCTCTCCTCTCTCCCTTCTCTCCTCTCTCCCTTCTCTCTTCTCTCTCCTTTCTCCTTTAGTACCAGAATTTGAACGTTAGAGCTTGGTCCTTGGCTCACAGCTGGTGCTCTACCACTTGAGCTATGTCTCTAGTTCACCATTTTGCTGCTTAACTGGAAGTGTGCTCTTGTAGACTTTCCTGCCTGGGCTGGTTCTGAACTGTGATCTCAGCCTTCTGAGTAGCTAGGATTACAGGCGTGAGCCACCAGTGCCCAGCCCAGATTCCTATTTTTAAATGCAAATAAAGAATCTGTAGGTTCTGATTAGTCCTTGTTACTCAAGACCCCTGTCTCTTCTTGCTTTCTCACTTACTCTGGCTTTCAGGGGGGGGAAAAAAGGGTTTGGTAGTGAGAATAGTTCATCATTGTAACTATGAAAGTGCATTGTGTATTTAATCATCTTAATACATTATCAACTTTCTCCAATTCTGATACATAACTCAGCCTTAAAAAGTTGCTCGGCGTTTGGCTCAAGTGGTCTGTTGTCTGCTTGGCAAGTGCAAATCCCTGAGTTCAAACCCAGTACCCAGTTGGGTAAGGGTTATTCATTTTTTTGGTCCTGGGGCTTCTCTGGGCCTGGGGCGCTGTTCCTCAGCCCTTCAGCTCAAGGCAAGTGCTCTGCCACGTGAGCCACAGAGCCACTTCCAGTTTTCTGGTGGTTAATTGGAGATAAGAGTCTCACTGACCTTCCTGCCCGGCCTGGCTTTGAACTGTGATCCTCAGATCTCAGCCTCCTGAATAGCTAGGATTACATGCATGAGGATGGCACCTGGCAGGTTTATTCTTATTTAAAGGAGCAGTATTTTGAAATTTGGGTTTTCTCTATTTAAAGTGCTTATGATTTTAGAATCTTTGTTGTCCTCATTATTTGTTGCAGCTGTGCTAGGGGCAGAAGCCAGGGCCTCTTATGTGCTCTACAGGTGCTCCTCCTTGGTCTTTCCCAGCCCAGTCCCCCCCCCCCCCCCCCCCCCCCCCCCCCCCCGCCCAAGGCCTCCAGCAATCCCCCACCTCCCAAAGAGCTAGGATTAAAGTGTGAGCCATGGTTCCTGCAGCACTTCACTTTTCTAAACAGCATGTCTTTCTCTCGTGTATGATTTAAATGGGTGAAATTCATGGCAAAAAGGGGCAGGTGTAACTTGGACAGCAGTGAGCCTGCCAGCACAGCTACCAACAACAATAACAACCAAACAAAACTGTTTCCATTTCTTGTAGTTCATTTAGATAAAAAGTATTAAATGTTCAGAGAAGTTACACCTTTAGGATCCTTCCTTAAGGATATCTTCCTTTTTTTTTTTTTTTTTTTTTGTCAGTCTCGGGGTCTGAACTCTGGGCTTGGGCGCTGTCCCTCAGCTCTTCAGCTCAAGGCTAGCACTCTACCACTTGAGCCACAGCGCCACTTCGGGCTTTTTCTGCTTATGTGGTGCTGAGGAATTGAACCCAGGGCCTCATGCATGCAAGGCTAGTGCTCTACCACTGAGCCACCTTCCCAGCCCCATGATATTTTCCCTTAATCTTCATTTGTGTGTGAATACATTTTGTACAATTAGTAGAAATATGTGTCCACGTGTTTCCGTTTCCTCTGCAGTAGCAATCCTTCCATGTGGAAAGGAAGTCTACCTTGCTTTCAGAACTGCTGCCGGTACCATGATACGGGTTTATTTAACCATTTCCTATTGGTAGATGTAGCTTGTCTCAGGGGTGTATCAAGCATGACAGTGCGGCCAGTTACTATCCTTGGCAGCATTCTAAACAGGTTAAAGGTTTGCTCTGTTTTGCCAAACTTTTTTACAAAACTGCACCACTCTGTATTTCCACTAACCTGTAGTTACTCATTTCCCACACTTCTGACCCTAGGGTCAGCATCTTTTTTTTTTTTTTTTTTTTTCGGGGGGGGGGGGGGTCTGAACCCAGGGCCTCAGGCATGCAAGGCAAGCGCTCTACCACTGAGCCACCTTCTCAGCCCAGGTCAGCATCTTTTGATGCATGCTAGGCAGAAAAGAGTTCTTTGGTTTTCATAATCTTAAACTCTGTGCCTGTGGTTGTTTTTAGAGTTTCTGAAATAGCTAAATAAAGACAGCAGCATATTCCTGCAGCAGGATATTAGAAAACAATAGCACTGCTTAATAAGTTTGAAAGACAAAAGGACTGTCTTGTGGCCTGCTGCTGCCCTCTAATGGTTAAGATTGACATTTTCTTGTTCTCTTCGATGTTTTCTTTTTTGCTAAGTGGTATGTGTGTGCGCGCGTGTGCATGAACACACACCAGTCCTGTTGCTTGATCTCAGGGCCTGGGTGCTGTACCTGAGCTTTTTTGCTCTACTACTTGAGCTACAACTCTAGCTTTTTTGGGGGGTGGGGAGGGGGTGGTTGATTAAGAGTCTCACGGAGGGGCTGGGAAGGTGGCTCAGTGGTAGCGCGCTTGCCTTGCATGCCAGAGGCCCTGGGTTCGATTCCTCAGCACCACATAAGCAAAAAGAAAAAAGCCGGAAGTGGCGCTGTGGCTCAAGTGGTAGAGTGCTAGCCTTGAGCTGAAGAGCTGAGGGACAGCGCCCAGGCCCAGAGTTCAGGACCCACGACCGGACCCCCCCCCCCCCCCCCCAAAAAAAAAAAAAAAAAAAAAAGAGTCTCACTGATTCCCCTGCCCAGGCTGGCTTCAAACTGTGATCCTCAGATCTCAGCCTTCTGAGTAACTAGGATTGTAGTTATGAGCTTGTAGTACACGGCTACCATTTTGCTTTTTATTTGGTTTTTCAGATAAGGTCTCTCATTAACTGCTAGAGCCGGCAAATTGACCCTCTACCTCTGCCTCTCAAGTAGCTGGGACTATAGGTGTAAACCACCACATCTGCCATGTTTTTGAGATAGGGTCTTGCTAGCTTTTGCACAGACTGGCAGGTTCTACTTTTAAAGACCATGTGAGGCCAGGGACGCAGCTCAGTAGTAGAGCACTTGGAAGCTCTGGGGTCCATCTGGAGTACTGCAAACAAACAATACAGTATAGACAGGAAAATAAGAAAACTGACTTCAGTAACAAGAGCTTGAAAAGGAGCAAACTAGCACTAAATTTAAAAAATAAGCAGCTGTTACATCTGTAAGCCTAAATTCTTGGAGGCTGAGATTGGGAAGATTGGATGCAAGGCCCCATTCATTACTCCTTTATCTATACAGCCTGGAGGTTGTTTTGTGCAGTATATTTGCAGTGAGCCTGGTTTTATTGGCAGGCCGTGACGTCACATGAGATGAGGAATGGAATTGTCGGGCCGAGCAGGGTTTGCGGCTGGGTAGTCAGGGTGAGCCTCATGGCGAGTACTTCGGCTTTACCGCATGGATGATTTCCTTTCTTCCTCGATTCCTTCCTTCTGGTTTTTAAAGCACTGGAGAGGGGGCTGTTGAAAACACTGCAGAAACTGGATGAGTATCTGAATTCCCCCCTCCCTGATGAGATCGACGAGAACAGTATGGAGGATATCAAGTTTTCCACACGGAAATTTCTGGATGGTAATGAAATGACACTGGCTGATTGCAACCTGCTGCCCAAGCTGCACATCGTCAAGGTAGGGCTGTGGCTGAGCCCGTGCCGGGGGCGGGGGCCGAGCCAGTGGGAGCCTGTGTGCTTAGTGTTGGCTGAGCTGATGGACCCGGAGGGCGGGGCTCCATGGGTAGTGAGATCTTCAGATCCAGGGCACGGAGAAGGAGCATTGCTCATCTTCCTTCCGGAACCCGAATAGAGACAGGAAGGTAGGAAGGGTAGCAGAGCTTTGAGCTCACTCACAGCTGACATTTTTGTGCAAGGTCAGAGTTTGGAGCTCAGTCTAATAGTATTTACGGAGGTAAGATAGGAAATCCACAGATGTGAAGGACTGTGTTGTGTGTGTCCAGTGCTTACACATGGCCTGGGCAGGAAAAGTCCGTGAGGCTCTTATCACAGTTAACCACCAAAAAAGTGCAAGTAGTAAGTGCTGTGGCACACATGGTAGAGTATTGGCCTTGAGCAAAAAATGCTCAGGGAGAGTGCCCAGGCCCTGAGTTCAAGCCCCTGCACCAGCACACATAAAAGATTATTTCTGTGTCTCTGAGAGCTGCTCGAACTTCAGAAGAGGCAGGCGGCCCCATCCTGCCCCTGGGCTCGCGCAGCACAGGAGGCGCGCTTGCCCGATGCGGGAGGTGGTGGGACCTGCCATGGCTTTGAACTGTGATCCTCAGATCTCAGCTCCTGAGAAGCTGGGGTCACAGGGGTGAGCCAAGTAATAGTTTGCTGTAAAGTTAGGCTTAGGTCTAGGTTATGAGGCATGGAAAATGAAGGTTAACTTGGCTCTCTTGGAATTTCAGGTGGTGGCTAAAAAGTACCGCAACTTCGACATCCCCAAAAGCATGACAGGCATCTGGCGGTACCTGACCAACGCCTCCAGCAGAGACGAGTTCACCAACACCTGCCCGAGCGACGAGGAGGTGGAGATCGCCTACAGCGACGTCGCCAAAAGACTGAGCAAGTAAAGCGGCGCTCGAGAGACGGCTCCAGACCCCTCCTAAGCGCCTGCTTTCCTCACGGACTGCTCTTCCGTCTGCAGTAGAGATGCGTTTTGCATGAACACGCAGTTACTCATGATTAGAATCAGGATAGACAAGGTGCAGTAGTTGTCTGAAAACACACTCCTAAGCAGTATTATTGTCCAGTCCCACCACCCCTGCCCACAGCCTCCGTCCTCTGATCTGGAGACACTCCATCTCAAGCTTGTCTGTTCACAGGGTGCAATGTGTTACTTAAATAGAAGCCATAATGTCAGTCTCCCCCCCCCCAGCCCTGATGGTTCTGGAATTTCCTTAGAGCTTGAGAGAGAGGATGGCTGCACAGGCCTTAGTGGAAAGATCTGGTGCCCAAGCCACGCGGGCTCTGCCTGTGTGGAGCCTCTCACCGCCCATGCCGCCCCCCGCCTCGTGACGGGGGCTGTGTGCAGAGAGGGGTGGCGGCACTGCCATGGTCAGGGAACCGCAGCCACCTTGGTGTTGAAAGCTGCTTTTCAGGCCTCGTGGGCGCACATGCCGGACAGCCGTTGCCTGAGCTCCAGCTGGAAGTGGTGAGGCGCGCACAGAGATGAACCTCAGGTGAAGTGGAGGGGGGTGTGGCGAAGCATATTTCTGTAGCTAACTTAAATCCCTCCCTCCCTCCCTCCCCTCCCTCCCTCCCTCCCAATGGTAGTTGTTTTGCCCAGTCTCCTCCAGCGTCAGCCAGCCCGTGGGGTTGAGGCATTTCTTGTTAAGTTGAGATCTAGTGCAGAGATGGGTGTCGCATGAAGTCGAGCTTGGTGAGGCTTACGGTGTTCTTCCCAAAATGAACTAAGTTCCGCTCTAAGGACTGGGCGTGACTGCACGTGCCGTGTGGGCACGTCGCGTGAGGATGAGTGCATCTCACAGAGCGTCATCTTGAGGTATAGCTCTAGGATGGCGGCGCCCCCCGTGCTGCGCGGGCATCGGTGCCTGGCTTTGTGGTCACGCTGCCTTTCTACCCTGGCAGCGAGGAGTGTTGAGCAGCCACACGAGCAAACTCCAGCTTGTGTCCCCTTGGCCTGGTGATGGCGAACGGCCTTAAAGTGTGAGGAGGGGCCGGAGAGGGGCTGTGAACGGGACCCAGTGGGCTGGGCGCCTCTGGAGAGGAAGCCATGCTCCTCACAATGGCCAAATTCCCTGCACAGCATTTCCACTTAGGTATTCCCCTCCTCCTGGCGTCTCCTTTACCGGTGACCCACTCGTGCTGGGGAGGCGGTGTGGGCACTGCCACAGGCTGGCGTTTCCCTGTGGGAGGAGGTGTGTTCGCACGCTGGCTGTGTGGAGGAAGGAAGGGCCTGCAGCTCGCAGCGTGCGTGCGTGTGTATGTGCGTGCGTGCACACGTGCGTATGTGCACGCGGGGGCGGGGCCAGGAGGTTGGCGTGCGCGGAGGGATAGCTCGCCAGCTCCTCTGCCCTCCGGGAGCACAGCACAGTCAGAGTCCAAGTCTCATTTCCTGAGGGCCACTGAGGTTTCTTTAATTAAGCATTTGGAAAGTCCTTTACTGTTCCAGTTGATATTACTCCCCCCCCCCCCTTTTTTTTTTTTTTTTTGGTATAGATTCAGACTTTCAATAAAATGCAAATAAGGTTTATTTCTTGCAAAAGTCAGCTGTTCCAACTTAAAACCACTAGCAGTCTGTGTCCATGCAAAGATAGATTCCTGACCAGTGTGTACTGCACTCAGTGGACCATTCTAGAACTTAGGAGTGGTGCGTCTGGTGACCTTCGAGCTTCTCCAGAGTTGCATGTAGATAGCTTTTATTTCCGTGCATTTAAATATCCCATTTAGAAAATACCTACAAAGTAAAGATGAGAGGAAATAGAAATTATTTTTTCACAAACATTTTGATACACATTTCATCAAGCTAATTGATGTCATCAATTTCTTAACACAGGCTATAATCAGTAATTAATTCAAACAGAGGGAGATAATTTTAAACTTTCAAAATCCCATTCTTTGCAAATTATCGAGATTGGAACAACCAAGATATATTTTTAGCAAGGGAAAAAAAATCTCCCCAAGCCATAATACTGAAAAGAATTGGACTTTTTTTTTTAATTACTTGGCTAGGCAGATGCAAGCTTTATAGAATGCTTGTATTTTATTTCCTCTCTCTGGAACATCAACACCAGTATATTGCTGGCAGCTATTGTATTAAAAATAAATATATTTTCACTATCATAAAGGATTTTTTTTTCTTCATAAAAACAAATAAAAACTGGATGTAAAAGTGTTTGAGACTACTGCTTTTTCTTCTGAGTTTCTGATTCAGAACATCTAACAACAAAAGAACTGTGCTGGTGAGTTATTCCTGTATCCAAGCTACTCAGAAGGTTGAGATGTTCAAATCCAACCTGAGCAGGAAAGTCTGTGAGACTCTTGTCTCCAGTTAGCTACCAAAAAAGCTGGAAGCGGATCTGTGACTCGAGTGGTAGAATGCTGACTTTGATCAAAAGCTCAGGGGAGGCTAGGAATGTGGCTTAGTGGTAGAGTTCTTGCCTAGCATGCATGAAGCCCTGGGATGGATTGCTCAGTACCACATAAACAGGGGAAGGGGGTGGGGGGAAGCTGGAAGTGGAGCTGTGGCTCAAGTGATAGAGTGCCAGCCTTGAGCAAAAGAAGCTCAGGGACAGTGCCCAGGACTGGCTAAAAAAAAAAAAAAAAAAGCAATAGTTCTGAACAAATTATTTCCCCAAAGAAGATAGAAATTCTTAGCCAATACTATGTGAGTCTATTTTCCATTGCTATAACAAAATGCTCAGCTGGGGATTTTCTAAAGAGATACAGCATGCAGTTTTGGAGGTTCAAATGCAAAGTATCTTGGTTGGTCTGGCTCTGGAGGAGCCCCCAGGGAAGCCATCTTGCAGGAAGACCGAAAAGCCAGAAAGTGCGCAGGGCCCAGCTTGTGTCCAGCCATGAAGTCCAGACAAGACGACCTGAGGCTTGCAGGGCACCCCCCAAGACCCCCATGGCCGGCCCTCTGCAGGAAAACTACGCAGGTATGAAGGAGACTGCCTGCCTTCCCGAGGGCAGCGCCTGCAGGGACCCTAATTCCTTGTTCAAGACCCCACACTTTGAGGTTCCCTATCTCAGTATTGCCACACTGAAGACCCAACTTCCCACTTGCGAGTCCTCGGGACACAGGTGAACCATACCCAGACCAGAGCACGGGCAGACAGATGAACATCGTTAAGCTACAGACCAGAGCACGAGCAGAACGATGAACATCATTAAACCCCAGACCAGAGCACAGGCAAACAAATGAACATCATTAGACCCCAGTGAGCCTCCCAGGATGGCGGTTGTGGTGGACGGTGGGGTTGGTAAGGGGGTGGGTTGGGGGGAGGGGGGTTCACCTGCCATGCTCACTGCCATGTGAAGGGCAAAGCCCTGCCTTGGAAAGTGAGACACCATCACAAGTGGCAAACACTCCACCTGCACTCACACACACACACACACAGAATCCACACACATCCTCACCCCTCACCTCACGTTCCCAGCACCGGTGCTCATGGGACCCAGAATACAGACAAGCCAAGCGCCCATCTTGGTAATGCATCAGCAAGTGGTGTGTCAGTGGACGTGTGTGTGTGTGTGTGTGTGTGTGTGTTTATATGCCATGTGTATGTGTGCATACATGCATGGCATTTCCACACTGAGCCATAAGAAGGTGTGAAGGGCAGATACCATCTACCACTGAGCTTGAGAAGACACACAGCAGAAGCCAGGCAGCTCATGGTTCTGTGTATGGAAGCGTGAAGGGCAAGCATCGCTCTACAGTCGAGTCATGGCGGCCGGGGCTGGGGTGAAGGGAGAGCACAGCGCCGAGGGTATGGGCCTTTGTCTGTGTGGTGTTAGAAGTGTTCTTAAGCTAGATTATGGTGACGTGGCTATGCTAAAAACCACCCAGTTGTACACTTCTGTGTACAATTGAAATATAAAGAGTGAACAAAGGACTTACATCAGTAAGTATGTTTAAATAAGTGCAGACAGGCTGATTGGAGAGTTAGTTATTCATCCTAGAACTTAGGCTGAGACTGCGGCAGGAGGATGGAGAATTTAGAGTGAACACAATAGGGAGACCCTGGTTTTTTTTTTTGGGGGGGGAGAGGAGCCTAAATAAAAATTCCTTGGCTTGGGCATTGGTGGTTCATGATTGTAACCTAGCAGGAGACAGATCTGAAGAGCTTCAAAGCCAGCCTGGACAGGAAAGTCTGTGAGACTCCAATTAACTACTAGAAAGCCAGAAATGGTTCAGTAGCTCAGGAACAGTGCCCAGACCCAACCCTGAGCTCAAGCCCCAGGACTGGCACAAAAAAAAATAAAATTCAGCTATCTAAAATATATTGTTAAAAAGGAAAAATGTGTTCTGATGAAGCTTAAATCTGAAGTTACAAAGTTAGCTTTTCACTGAAAATGTGTGAGCTCTATAGTTTGTAATACCTCTGTAGTCAAACATGAAAGAGAACTCTGTGTGTGTGTGTGTGTGTGTGTGTGTGTGTACAGGGACTTGAATTCAGGACTTGGGTGCTGTCCCTAGGTATTTTCTCTCAAAGTAGATGCTCTACCACTTGAGCTACAGCTCCACTTCTGGCTTTGTGCAGGCCAATTGGAGATAAAAGTCTCAGACTTTCTTTCCTGGGCTGGCTTTGCTCAGATCTCAGCCATCTGAGTAGCAAGAATTATAGAGGCACTGGCACCTAGCTTAAAAACAAACCGAGATTCAAATTTTATTGGATGGATTTAACAGCAGAAAACAGGCTGGAAACAGTGATCTAAACTAAGCAAAAAGATTTTTTTTAAAAAAAGGTAAAACAAGACCATTAAGCAAGCAAGAGCCACACACGAGAATCTGAGTGCTGTGTGTGAGCCTGAGTGCTATGTCAGAGAGACTGAGTACTGTGTGAGACTGAGTGCTATGTCAGAGAGACTGAGTGCTGTGTGTGAGACTGAGTGCTGTGTCTGAGAGCCTGAGTGCTGTGTGTGAGGCTGAGTGCTGTGTGTGAGCCTGAGTGCTATGTCAGAGAGACTGAGTGCTGTGTGAGAGCCTGAGTGCTATGTGTGAGCCTGAGTGCTATGTCAGAGAGACTGAGTGCTGTGTGTGAGAGGCTGAGTGCTATGTCAGAAAGATTGAGTGCTGTGTGTCTGAGTGCTGTGTGTGAGAGGATGAGTGCTGTGTGAGAGACTGAGTGCTGTGTGTGAGAGGCTGAGTGCTGTGTGTGAGACTGAGTGCTGTGTGTGAGAGGATGAGTGCTGTGTGTCTGAGTGCTGTGTGTGAGAGGATGGGTGCTGTGTGTGAGACTGAGTGCTGTGTGTGAGAGACTGAGTGCTGTGTGTGAGAGGCTGAGTGCTGTGTGAGAGGCTGAGTGCTGTGTGAGAGGCTGAGTGCTGTGTGAGAGCCTGAGTGCTGTGTGTGAGACTGAGTGCTGTGTGTGAGAGACTGAGTGCTGTGTGTGAGAGGCTGAGTGGTGTGTGAGAGGCTGAGTGATGTGTGTGAGCCTGAGTGCTATGTCAGAGAGATTGAATGCTGTGTGTGAGAGGCTGAGTGCTATGTCAGAAAGACTGAGTGCTGTGTGTGAGAGGCTGAGTGATGTGTGTGAGCCTGAGTGCTGTGTGAGAGCCTGAGTGCTATGTCAGAGAGATTGAATGCTGTGTGTGAGAGGCTGAGTGCTATGTCAGAAAGACTGAGTGCTGTGTGTGAGAGGCTGAGTGCTGTGTGTGAGAGGCTGAGTGCTGTGTGTCTGAGTGCTGTGTGTGAGGATGAGTGCTGTGTGAGAGACTGAGTGCTGTGTGTGAGAGGATGAGTGCTGTGTGAGAGACTGAGTGCTGTGTGTGAGAGGCTGAGTGCTGTGTGTGAGACTGAGTGCTGTGTGTGAGAGGATGAGTGCTGTGTGAGAGACTGAGTGCTGTGTGTGAGAGGATGAGTGCTGTGTGTCTGAGTGCTGTGTGTGAGAGGCTGAGTGCTGTGTGTGAGAGGCTGAGTGCTGTGTGTGAGACTGAGTGCTGTGTGTGAGAGGATGAGTGCTGTGTGTGAGAGCCTGAGTGCTGTGTGTGAGCCTGAGTGCTATGTGTGAGCCTGAGTGCTATGTCAGAGAGACTGAGTGCTGTGTGTGAGAGGCTGAGTGCTGTGTGAGAGGCTGAGTGCTGTGTGAGAGCCTGAGTACTGTGTGTGAGGCTGAGTGCTGTGTGTGAGAGGCTGAGTTCTGTGTGAGAGGCTGAGTGCTGTGTGAGAGGCTGAGTACTGTATGTGAGAGGCTGAGTGCTGTGTGAGAGGCTGAGTAGTGTGTGTGAGAGCCTGAGTGCTGTGTGTGAGGCTGAGCTCTGTGTGTGAAGCGCTGAGTGCTGTGTGAGAGGCTGAGTGCTGTGTGTCTGAGTGCTGTGTGTGGGAGGCTGAGTGCTGTGTGTGGGAGGCTGAGTGCTGTGTGTGAGAGGCTGAGTGATGTGTGTCTGAGTGCTGTGTGAGAGACTGAGTGCTGTGTGAGACACTGAGTACTGTGTGAGAGGCTTAGTGCTGTGTGAGAGACTGAGTGCTGTGTGAGACACTGAGTACTGTGTGAGAGGCTGAGTACTGTGTGTGAAGCTGAGTACTGTGTGTGAGAGCCTGAGTGCTGTGTGAGAGGCTGAGTACTGTGTGTGAGACTGAGTGCTGTGTGTGAGAGGCTGAGTGCTGTGTGAGAGCCAGAGTACTGTGTGTGAGAGCCTGAGTACTGTGTGAGAGACTGAGTACTGTGTGAGAGCCACACAAGAACACCCAGGAGTTTTCCCAGGCAGGTAGAACTCTGTAAACGCCACCTGGAATAAAACCAAACCAAGCACATCTAAGAGAAAACTCTAGAGACAGCCACATCACCTTTGAAGTAGGTGGAACGAAACCAGTGGCTGGCTTTTCATCCACAAGGGGCCTTTGGAAGTGGAAGACGGAATCTTTCAAGTGCTGGGGGGTGGGGGTGGAGTTCTGCCAACCCCAAATTCCATCCTCCATGAAAATGGTAACAAGGCAAAATATGGAGAAAACAAAACCACACGCCCCAAACCACACATTCAAACTCCGCCTCATTTCGTCTAATTGCCTGGAGGGAAGGCGCGTTCTTTTCAAGTGTGCTGGGTTTCTAGCACAGCCAACCCCACGCTGACCCCATAACGCAAGCTCAGCAAATGCTGGAGGCATGAAACCACA